TTTTGCAGCCTAGATATGGTAGCCCGATACAAGTCTGCATTAACAGCAAGAGAACAACTTCAAGAGGCCTTTTCTGTTGTCTGTTTAAAAAGAAATCCAGCATTAGTAAAAAAATAAAAGCAAAAACAAAAAAAACCCCTAATAAACAGAAATTCTTGCATTCCTTTAACAAGTACTGTGATAGCTGTCTGAGAACATAAAATCTAATTATTTTTCTCACCTGCATGAAATAATGGAACCCTGCTGGCAGCACAGAGCTTAGATTTAATGTATTTCTAAGCAACAAGTACTGTGATAGCTGTCTGAGAACATAAAATCTAATTATTTTTCTCACCTGCATGAAATAATGGAACCCTGCTGGCAGCACAGAGCTTAGATTTAATGTATTTCTAAGCATAATGGATCCTGAAGGCCAGAGTTGCAAGACTCGTAAAAAAAAAACAAAAAAAAAAAACCACCCAGGAACAGGGCTGGGAGGAAAGCAATATAGAGCTATGAACGTTTCCTCTTGTGTCTTTCCCTATATGGGAAAACAAGAAGAACTTCTGAGGTTCACTCTTGTTGGCCATATTTTATAGCCATAGACCCAAATAAAGCCATATAAATAAAACGAAACCTTGTATCAACAGATAAGGCTCTCAGAATTCTAATAAACCTACTTTATTAGAAGTCCACCAATATGGATTATTAAAAGTTACAGTTGCAGGTTTTTAATATAAAAAGAAATATAATAAACTCTTCCCACCTTGCCTGTCAATAACAGTAATCTTTTTCTACCTCTGCATTTACCCAAATGATTAAAACTGCCTCAACATCAAAGCAATGCACTTACGCATACTTCTCCTAGGCACTTAAAAAAAAACAATAGCATAGTAACTTCTTTTTTTCAGTCTCTCAGCTCTCTTTGGAATATTCTCCTGAGTTACAGGCTGAATATAAGACTAGGGTTAAACTGCCAATGCTCATTTTGATGTTGCAGGAGCCCCAGAGTGTAAAATGAAAGCTGATGATGATCTTCTGTTCATGGAATCAGACCAAAACTTTGCCCTTCCTTGGAGATTCCAGATATTGAACGAGGAAACTTCTGTATTCAACAATATGTTCTACTGAGAAGCTATAGTCCTCTCTGGACTACAAAAATGTCTTCTAGCTGGCTGTTCTCTCAAATTCTGATGTGTCGTATCTTCTAAAAACAGGAGAGAGTTACAGTTTTCACAAACTATTAATCCACAGATGACCATTTATCACAGTAAGAGATGCATTTATGCTGATTGGACCTGCAAATTCATGACATAATCCTTAAAATCTTTTGAAGTTCTTGTTATAATGTAAAAATTTATTCTCAAACATGGTTAGGAAGAAAGGGAATGAGCCATAAATCCATAATTTAGAAACTTTTAAAAAATCTATTGCCTCTTCTGACAATTAACCAGGTCCTTTATTGTAACTTTATTACACTTGTCTCTTTCCTGAGTCACAAAGCATTTTTCTGGACAATTCCTTCAAAAGACTGACAGAAAGTATATATATTTTTTTCTTGTTTTTAAATGGCAAACTATCTTTAACTTCAGGGTAGGATGGGATAGAAATCTAAAGTATCTGTGAATATTAAACTAACCAATATTGTTATATTGTAGTCTGTCATTCAATTTTCTTGGGTGGTTTCTCCTGTGAAACTTTTGTTTTTCCCTCGTTTGCAGGCATTCCAACTTTTCTTAGAATTGATAGTGTTTTTGAACTTACTGTACTCTAAAGAAGAGGTGGAGGATACCAGTTTTTAGATTTTTCTCCCTTTACAACTATCTTTTCACTCTCCCTATTTGCTTATGTATTCTATTCTGAACCCATCCACCCCAAATAGATATTCCTTAGGATAACTTTTTTTGGAATTTAACTGAAGTATGGGAAGGCAGAAAGGCTGCCAGTTAATGAAGAGGTGAGAGTACAGAACATTCACATACACTCTTGGTTATTTAGTAACTAATTATAAATACAAGAGTCTCATCCATCTATCCATGAGAATTTTAGAAAATTTTGGTCTCCTTTGAAGAAGAAAATGAAAGCAATTTCTTTTTAATTGAATCAGCATGATTAAAAACAACTATTTGTACAGCAATCCCCAAAATATCTACTTCAAAATTCTTGGTCCAGGAGACACATCTGTAATGTTGGCAGACTTTGAATATCCACTGATCATTCCTAAGTAAGGAACACCTTTTATATTATTGAACTTTTTATAGGAAAGGCAGATCTCCGAATAATATATTTGTCTGTCTTCATTTACTGCAAAAGAATATAGTTATTCAGGTATAATTAGTTCAAATAGTTGTAGGAATCTGCTGAAAATTTTGAGTTTCACTGCCCATTTCTGGCAACATTCTCCCTGATGGCTCTAGCCTCATGTCTAGAGAATGAAAACCACCAGCAATTAAATTATGTTTTCCAGGAACACCATCCTCAATTTAATTAGAGACAGCCTTGTCAAATAATGTAGAGGAAGACAGAAATTAGCCTTACTTGAACAAATGAGTTCTGACACTTTCAAAAATCTGTCACAAATGTTTTCATGCAGAGTTGATATCAGCTTAAAAGCAGGGAATGACAGATAATTTATTTTCTCAGGATTTTTCTTCCCAATTAATGTTAGAAGTAACAGCTACTGTGATTGGTGACATTATAGGCTTGGTTAATGTTCATGAATGCTAAATAAATGTTTGTGAAGAATATAATTCTTTCTGCTCCACATTAATATGGACAATTTCTAAGACGAGTAACAACTGGGCTTTCAATAACTGTTTGATCTTCCACCACAAACAGAAGAAGAGAAATAAGAAATGCCTCTGGCCTAGTTAAAAAAAAATCAATATAATATGAGTGATAAATCTCTAATAACAAAGATGCCTATGGTAGGGGAATGTCTAAATCGAGACAACTGAATTGCTATTCTGTTGATTCCATTTATACTCTTCCTTGCTTCCCTGGTGAAACTCAAGACAGTTTATCTTTGATCCCTACTCACTGAATTGCATTATTTCATTGCAATGTATCATAACTAAATACACATCATATACTGAAACAAGCAGATATAAAAACCATTTGAAGTCATAAAGGATAAGGTTCAGACCACTGGTTTAACAAATTTTCCTCCAATCTCTGAGTATGCCAGCATAATTTGCTCTATCCCCATAGCCAATCCCTATTGTGACTTGGCAAGTGGTACTGTCTTAATAGTTCATAATGGGGCAAGTTAGGGTGTAGCTATTAATGGAGTTCCAGCTGGTGAGAGAGACATCCATCAATCATTCTCCTTAGTATAGGCTGGAGCTGGGTGAGGAGGCAAGTTTTGATAAATGGGTAGAGTGCCTTCATCTGCAAAGTGAGTGGGAACTTTCCACTCCGGCTTTACTGGAATGTCCCACCCCACCACCCGTACCACCTACCGCACCTGCAGATGATCTGTGTGGTGGGTAGGGCTGACAGGCAGGTTGCTGTACAGGATGGTACAGATTATCAGCAGCTCAAGGGTGGAGTGGTGAAGGCCTGCACTGTCCTGGCCCACAAAATGGCCTCCCTACTAGGGCATTTGTTTCTATATGTGTTTGCCCACTGACTTAGAAAACAAAAATGCCGTGACTGATAAGTAAGTTGCTCGGGGGGGGGGGGGGGCAGCAGCATGTGACCTCCTAAAAGTGGCCAGTAGGATCTGGGCAGATCCCAACCCCTGCTACATCCTCACCAAGGTCACAGCTGCAGTGCTTCACATGATATAGGTAGCAAGTCTTACATTGGAGAAGATGGCAAACCCCGCTTTCTTACCAGATCAGAAAACTCCAAAACCAGGCAGCCTCACTTATCATTTGGGTGGGTGGGAGGAGAGGGGAAGGCTGAGCCATGAGATGACCTTAAACAATGGGTGGCAAGGCATCTTCCAACTGCAGTTAAGGGAACAGATGAATGTCTGAAAGAATCATTCAGTGGGAATTCAGGTGAGGTTTTATACTTGTAAACCTTTTGATTAATGTTCCTGAATGTTATTTCAGTTTTAAATGAGATGTAGCTTTTTTTTTTTTTTACATTTTAGGTTTAGCAATTACAAATCTGTATTTTACTGATTTTTAAATTGGCCATTCGGTCATTTTAGACTTCTAAAAGCCTTTAGAATATAAGCATGTCCTAATGTTAATTTGCCCTTAACATTTTTTGCAAATTTGCTTGTGGTTACTAAGTATGCCAAGTTACTTGATTGAGAATGGATTCAAAAGCCTGAAAGTATAAATAAATAAAAAAATTATCTTGCAATAGCCTTAAAGTAAAGTAAATCCCCTGAATACAAGATTACAAGGCAACCCAGACCAGGAAATCAGTTTATACTTACACTAAACCATGGCTTGTTTTAATCATAGTTGAATGAGTCACAATGCCTGGATTCATAGATTGTTGTTTACCACAATTTGGTGAACAAACCCCAAGCATGTGGGATGGACAATATCCTAAATCATGGTTTATAGTCTACAATGCATGGATTTGGACAACACACTAAGCCAAAACCAAGCTATCCATATTATGATTTAACATGATGATGATTTAACCCTCTTTCAACCACCCAGGACCAATTGTATTTCCAGAAGTCAAAGTTGACTCCTGGTAATCATGTGGACACATACATATAATTTTCTTGGAAATAATGCAGATGTGGTTTACCACTGCTGCCTTATGGGATTTTTTTTTTTAATTTTCCAGTGTAGCCTACAACTTTAGTAGTTTTAGTAGTCTCCCAACCAATACTAAAGGTCCTACCCTGCTTAGATATTTTGAGATCATCAAAATTTGGCTAGTTGCTACCTGTAAGACAATATATATTTCTTTGGAATCACAATAGTAGCACACCAAATCTGACTTTAGAACAATGACTGTATGGAACTGTTATTTAGGAGAAAGCACTTGTAGCTGAGAAATGTTAAGCTTTTTCTTTTTACTAGCATTTTTCCCCATTTGTGTAGAACTATCAAGTGGCTTCTAAGTTGGAACAGTTTGTGACTCGCTTTTTGTTAAAAGAAACCCTGAATCAACTACAGTCTCTCCATAATTCCCTGGAATGTGCCATGGAAACCACAGAGGAACAAACCCAACAAGAGAAGTAAGGAAGATTCTTACTATTGTGTCATAATGGCAGCGTGGTAGAAATTGTTCTAGGAATGAAGCTGCTGTGGAATAATGACTTGCTCAATTATTTTAGAGAATGACATTTTCCTATTCCAACTTCTATTAAATAAAAGCTGCACAAAAGATTTTGGGGAACATTAATTGTTCCCTAACTTAACTGTACCTTCTGTTTCAAGACTCTTCTTTCCCAATGAATCCATTTACAGGTAGTGATGATTTCAAGGCAGCTCTTGTCTTGATGAGCTGTTTTTTTTTTTTTTTTGCCACCATTGCCTTTGAACTAAAAAGGAACTACTTTGGAGCTTTCTATCCCATTGCCTGGTCCACAGTTTAATCAAAGCAAAGTGTCACTCCCAAAATGATCCTTTGTGATTCTAGTTCTCACTAGAGACTAGAGAAATATAAGAGGAGGGAGTCCTATGTATGTCTTGACTTCCTAAGTGAAAGATTGGATAAAAATAAAGAAATATAATAAAGAAATATATCAGGGTCTGTGACTTTTTATGTCATTATGTTGACTCAGTATAGAAATAGAATAAATGTTATCTATGCCTGTATTATTATTGCTGGTTTTGTTTCTAACTTGCCGGTTTTTATTTTGATAGCCAGTGTATTTAGGGCCAATTTTGTGGCAGGCAAAAAACCTTAATAATAGGAAAGTTTAACAGAGTTTGTCTATGTAAAGGGCTGCAAACAGATTCAAAATAGAAATAAATTTAAGCATTGAACTGCTTTATGTAATTTTTTTCTAAAGGCAAATCCCAAAGAAGCCAGAGGTGCTCAAAATACAACACCCAGGAAGACGTTCAGGTCGAAGGCGCCAGAGAAATAACAGTTTTTCTCCAGTTAGTCCTCTTTTTAACCCAGGTAATATTAACATTTACCATTGTTTATTCATTCTTTAAAACTCATGCCAATAAGAAGTCATATAAAATTAATGAAGAAATAAATTTCATTTAAACAGAAAATGTATAAAATTGATCATTTCTTATATTTTGATCATGTTTTATATTTACATCATTTGTGTACTGGCTTTATATCTGCCAAGCATCTACAACCAACTATGGCTCTCACAGGGTTTAAAATATTTGAACGTCTGAATTTTAATCTTTTTAGATTATGCATTTTAATACTTTCAGTAACATGCCTCAAATGTCTTGTGTGCAAAATAATCTGAAGTGGCCACTTGTGTAACAAACATTCGCCCTGATAAACCCACTGTGATGAAAAGGCTCTTTCTCTGTTTCCAACTTCATGGTGTGTTTACCATTGCTGGATGTAGAGAAGGATATTTCCATCCTTCTGAACAACTGGCAGACTGATAAAAGTCTGACTTTCTGAAGGAATTTTCTCCCTTCCCACCAATATTCACTTCAGCAGATGACAGCACCTAGACTGGCTGCTTTGGAATTGTAAATTGCTGTGAGGTGTTTTAAATAGAAAGTGGTGTGTGTGTGTGTGTGTGTGTGTGTGTGTGTGTGTAATAAATTCCAAGACTATTGGCAAGACAGGAGAGTAAAAAAAAAAACAACAACAGAAGAAAACAGCAGTAAACCAAGAAATGGCTGCCAAGAAAAATTCACAGAGGGCTTGAGCTAAACTTGAAGGCATAATTATCTTTACTAATATTTACTCTCTGGTGCCAAATCAGATGCAGTGCAGGCCATCCATGGGATTTCCTACATTTGCAAAAGAATTATCAATAGCAGCAATAGAAAGATTTAAATCAAGACAGAAACAACATAGGATTTATACTTTACTTGTACCACTTGCTAAGTGAAACAAAAACTCCCTTCCCTCTCCAAGAAACGATATATAGATATCATAAAAGTTTCCCTTATTAAGCAAGTACAGTCTTCAATCATGCTTTCAACTCTGTTACGTATGTTTTCCAAAGGTTTGCAGAAGGACGACAACCAATGGATGACCCAGATAAACAGACTTCAGAAGCTGATTGATAAGCTAGAACAGAAGGTGTGCACGATGACTTCATTACTCACAGCATTTCTCCATGCCCCTTTGCTATAGGAAGCTTCTGTAAGAAATATGATTCATTCAGCATTTCGGGTTTCTTTTTCGTCTGTTTGTTTAAGAGTCTCTGAAGTTTACTTTGTTCTAGAAACAGGACAAACTGATGAGATCTGTACTCTTTATACACCCCTTCCATCCCACTGTTTTGTATGTCTTCACTAAACCAAAAAAAAAAAGGTACAGTATAGGGCAGGCATGTCCTCTACATCCACCAGCATTTAAGAGGTTAAGGCAGTGTTGTCCAAACTTGGCCACTTTAAGATGAGTGGACTTCAACTCCCAGAATACCCCAGCCAGCCATGAAGTC